TTTAATTTTAAATTATAATACAACAACAAAATAAACGATAAAATGATATTATAATTCACAAATTGCTTCGTATATTCTAATACTGATATCGAATCTAGGTGGGAAACCCTCTGAATAAGCAAAAGCAAAATAAGGCAAAAGAAACAAAGCGAAGCGGGTCAATTAATTTAATGCTTACGTTTAATCTTCTTGGCGCCCCAATTGGAAGGGACTTATTTTTAAAGGTGTTTTAAAACAAATGTTGCTTTTATATTGAAAAAAAAAATATAAAGTTTTCCGAAATTACGGCATTAAATTAATTTTTCTACCCACTTAAAAAGTAGGAGGTACTCAATTCGGCTGTATGTTTCTTATGTGTGTTACCTCGTAATTTTGTTCTACGTGAACTAATTTCGATGATTCTTTTTTTATTTCAAAGCTGATGCTTCTTATGTAGTCCCACATAAATTTGATCAAGGTCTGACCAACAGTTTTTAAGTTATCCTTAAAAATATATGTTGAAGTCGGTTGTACAAAATTTTTAATTTTAAATTATTAATTATCGGTATTTACTGTCTAATGAGACTATTTTATAAATAGGAAGCAAGAATAAAAAAGCCCATAGTTATCCACCATAACCCTGTTGTAAAAAATATTTGTCTAAATTGTCATACAATTTTGACAGGGGGATTGACAAAAGCAGCCCTAGAGGGTCTTGTACATACTCGTATGACGAAAAGTATACGTTTGGTATTATAAGGTAATACGGGATGTTATTGTTTTATTAAACTAGCGATTCACCCGGCTTTCCACGAGTGATTTCTAGATCTCGACAATAGCGCTACCTACCTGGTCCAAATGTGAGTCTAAACCATCTAGGGACCCATTCAAACATACACAATTTAAAAAAAAAACATCATCAAAATCAGTCGAGCCGTTTTTGCGTTTTAGTGAAACTAACGGACAGCAATTGATTTTTATATATTATAGAGATAATTAAAAGGTGTTATTTTAAAGTCTTTAACCAGTGCGTCCTGTCCGTACTTACTTACGTTGCCGAAACGTGGACACTGACGACACGGCTACTCCACAAACTCAAAGTCGCAAAGCGAGCGACTTTGAGCTATGCTCGGAGTTTCTCTGGTAGATAAAATTCGAAATGAAGAAATCCGCCGGAGAACCAAGATTATTGCTGTTCCGTGTTTGTAAAATAAAGTGGCAATAGGCTGGCCACGTCTGTCGCATAGGTGACAACCTGTGAAGTAGACATGTTATGGATTGGAGACTGCGTCTAGGCAAACGTAGTGTGGGACGCCCCCTGACCAGATGGAGTGACAATCTGCGCAAGCTGGCTGCTAGAAACTGGATGCGTGTAGCCGAAGATCGAGCTAAGTGGTGTGCCTAAGGCCTATGTCCAGCAGTGGACTGCCGCAGGCTGATGATGATGATGATTTATCTAATATATACTAACCCAACTTAACCTTTACCACTGTCGGGCATAGGCCTCATTTCATTTCTGAGTGTTTTAGGGCAAGGAACTGTTGGCTGACATCACATGTCTTTGGAATTTTTTTTTATTTCTCAGACATGCAGGTTTCCTCACGATGTTTTCTTTCTTAAAATTGCTATTAACAATTTAATTGTCGCCGGCAAAGATCGAACCCGAGTTGCTCGCGTACTGTGAAATTTACAGCGAGCGCTAAGTCCCTACAAACAGTAAAAATTACCATATAATTTTACATTCTGAAGGCGGTGCTAAGACATAGTGTATAGAATATTTTCCTTTTTCTCCATTAGACGCCATCTCTTAGCTCACTCTTTTTTGACGCATATGATCCCTAATATAGTCCATCCATCTTTTCTTAGGCGTCCCTCTAATCTTATATCCATCCACTGTCACAGCCAACATTCTCCTTGTTATCTAGCTGGTTTAGCAGATATATGGTTGACTTCTCTTCGCATAATATGCCCATAACACGCTAGCCTAACACTTGCCAACTTTTCCGTGATTGGGGCATCTTTCAAACTTGTTTATGCAGCGCAATGTCAACTAGAGAAAATCGCTATTTTGGTATATTTGGTATCTTGCAATGGTAAAAAGCAAATTGTTCTGAACTTTATTAGTTTTACATAAGAGGGCCTTAAGGACAACCTTTAGCACAAAAAAAAACATGAAGAGTTACTAATGCCCGAATATCCAAACGCTACTCAATTTTAATATGCCGTTAAGACTCGTGCTGTCTCTATCACTTTAAATCAAAGTGACTGTGACACCACGAGTTTTAATGACTTCTTTAAACTGAGTAGTATTTGGGTATTTGGCCATTAGACAAACAACCTAAGAACATGAATATGTTAGTATATGTATTATATATGTTACGCAATAAAAGGTAAAAAAATAGATGATATATGTAAATTCTAGTCAATACAAAACAAGCCATTAATACCAGTTACACTATTCCTCTGAGTTACTATTCTATTTAAAAGGACATATGTATACTTTTACAATAAACATACCAAGTTTGTCTGGTGCAGATTTCAAAATACTTTTGGTTATTGCGATGTTAAGAAACACATGGAAGATAGTAAGACCTCGAAATGAGTCCGGTTTGAAAGATGTAGAGAGAGCCAGTATAATTACACATTGTGAGGCATTCTTCTTTTATTAAAAAAAACCGAAGAGGTAAACTGACATTTCGTCCACCTAATAGTAAGTCAATAAAGTGCATACCATGCCGGAATCCTACGGGCTAAAACCCCACAGAGGTCACCATCATCGTATATGAATATAATGCTTGAAATACTACTCATCATTCATTATAATACTGACAAAAACTAACTAAAATATTTAAGTACCGTCAGATTATTATATAAAGTCATTATATAGGTCGTATTTCGTGATTAAAATGTATATCTCTGTCATTAATTATTCCTAGTCGTTTGGAAATTCTCAGTCCAATTCTTTTAAGTTAGAAGAATAATTTCAAAAGTAATTTTCGCTTCTACACATTTTTCAACGAACACCTGGACAAGACAGCGACATCGCTTGAAGCAGAGTACACGAGATTAATATTGTGAGCGATTTGAAATGGATAAGGAAAAATGACAATTTTAAAAGCAAATTCTGCAAGAACGTCCTTATTTTTCAATAAACTGTTTTTAGATACTTACAGGTTTTGAATTTTTGTCCCCCGTACCGTGGATTTGTTTATCATGGAATTTATTATGTCATAAATTATAGCTCATCAAAAGTTCTCTTTATCATAAGGCTTTCCCATAGAGAGCAGCATAGATTGCTTCATATTTGAGTATTTACAATTTTGAGTCGTCTTCAGTAATATGCTGCAGCCCATCTCTGGTTTTAGATTTCTTCTGTTGCCTCTCACGATACGACCCACGGGATGATATGGGCACGGATATTCTTACATCGTCACTGCGCGGTAACTATTTAATTATCTACAATTTTTATTGAATGAAACTTATTTTACAAATTTATCGCGTTACTTTTTATTTCTTGGCGTTTTGGGCACTTTACAGCACCACGGTTACGGTCAGGAATGAGGTGTGTGACGTCCTGATATCATAGTTAACTTTATATGTATGTATATATATATATATATATATATATATATATATATATATATATATACATATATATTACAAAAACAAAAACAGTCTAATAGTGAGTTCGTACAAAGGAATGTGTTAGGAATGAGGATATCCTCAGTAGAACCAGTGACATAGCTCAACGGTTTTAACGGTCATTAGTAACCTGAAGTGGCAATGGGCCGGCCATATAGCTTGAAAAACCGCCAATGGGGAAAAGAGGTTCTCAAGTGGCAGCCTCGTACCGATAGGCGAAGTGTAGGACGACCCCGCACTAGATGGAGTGACGACCTAGTAAGACATGCAGGCAGTCGATGGATGCAGGTGCTTTGTGGCATACTTGGGGGAGGCATATGTTCAGCAGTAGACTTGTGAAAGGCTGTAATGATGATGTAATGATGAAGACACACAAATGAAAATAATTTAAAAAGGCAAACTTAGTGCACACACACTTAGTTCATATACATATTTTTGATATACGAAACATTTGTTTTATTTAATGTGAATTATTCGCGTAAAAAGAAGGAACCATAAAATTATTAACTCAAATTTTACGAAAGCGTAATACTTGATGACATGATAAAGTTTGAATATTTCATTACGAAACTTGGTTGGTTATTTAAGATGTAAACCTCTTGAGAGTGTATTAGAAAAATGTAAGAGACTGATAAAGCTCATCGTTAGAAAATCCCAGGCGCGTCCCCGGGGTGTCCGACGTTGCGAGATATTTCACGGTATTTTAACAAATTTAACGAGCTGCCATATCTTCTTGAATGCACGGCACTCGTAAGGATTCGTACGTTTAATCATGTATTTTATTACATCCTTTTATGTGTAATATGCCTTTATATTTATACTACGTACTCATGTTTATCAATTAAAGAGTTAACTGTACTTTTCTTAATATTTCTGATGTAATTTGTAACATCTCTATGTTGCTTCGTTTATCTTACGTCCGTAGTGAGATTGTTGATAAAGTAAATTAACACTCACTCACTTATAGCTGCAATGTTCTTTTCAAACGACTTCAAAAGAAGGAGGAGTTTGTCAATTCGACTGTATGTTTTATTGTGTGTTACCTCAGAGCTACCTTTCTAGGTACCGATTTTGATGATTCATTTTTTATTTGAAAGCTTCTCCTGTGGTCCTTTATAAATTTGATTAAGATCTGAACTGTAGTTTTGAGTTATCCTTAATAATGCGTATTTAATTTGTAAGGTTTTATTATAGAAATGGTGGGTAATTGTGGAAACTGTAATAACACGTTTGGAGAATAAACCAGTTAGCCGCGCAGTCCTGTGTTTGATTGACGCCTTTCCTTGGGTCTTTACACTGGCGACGAGTGGGTACCGCGAATATTATTTGGGGCGTATAAACTATATACGTGACGAGTAAATTATATGTAAATAGGTACTATGCCGATCGGAAAACTTGAGCCGTTCAACATTCATGCTACACAGTGGCCGGAGTACATACGACGGGTAAAACAGTATATTATACTGAACGAAATTAAAGATGAACTACAAGTACCTCTCTTAATAACTGTGGTTGGTGAGGCAACGTATTCTCTAATGTGTGATTTGTGCTCGCCGGTACATCCCGAATCAAAGACTTTCGAGGATTTGGTGCAATTGTTGACCGAACATTTTGAACCTCAGCGGTCGGAAATCGCCGAACGACACGTATTTCGGTTGCGCAGGCAACGACCAAGCGAGTCACTTACGGAGTACCTGCATAATTTAAAACATCTCGCAACCACCTGTAACTTCGGGAAGGCGCTGGAGGAGAATCTACGAGATCAATTCGTGTCCGGCCTAGCGAGTGAAGCGATGCGATCGCGTATATTTGCCGAGAAAAATATCAAATACAAAGAGGCGGTCGAGCTGGCTCTGGCACTTGAGGCTGCAGAAAAGCACGCGGAGGTGAGCGCCGCCACAACAGCGATGGCGTCTACCTCGGCCTCTGGCTTGGGCGGCGAGGTGAGCGAGGGCTTGCACCGGGCGAGCGCGCAACGAGCAGGCGCACGCGGCGGCAGCGGCGGCGGCGCGGCGGCCTGCTGGCGCTGCGGCAAGCAGCACCGGTCAGATCGGTGTCGGTTTGCGCAATATAATTGTGATCAGTGCGGCCAACGGGGCCACCTTAAAGTAATGTGTAAAAAGGTGTTCAGTGAAGTGCGCAGTGGGCTACGTACCGGAGCTCGATCGTGTGGTCGACCAAATTTGGTGAACCAGGTGGATACGGAAGAAGATGAGGACTTCTATAACATTAAGTTGTCGGCTAAAGGTACCAAACCATATTTCATTATAATTAATGTGGACGGTCATCGTCTAGAGTGTGAGGTCGATACGGGCAGCCGTATTTCGGCTATCAGTGCAGATTTTTATAAACGGTACTTTTCAAATAAATCATGAAATGTCGATAACCTAATATTACGTTGCTACTCGGGCTCCCGTATCGAATCGCTAGGTTACATTTATGTCGATGTACAACTGGGTGAGACTCGAGCTAAAAATTTACAACTGTATGTTATTAAAAACGGAGGCCGTCCTTTGTTAGGTCGAGCATGGATGCACGCTCTAAATATAAGGCAAATTAACTTTAATGAAATTGTTGATGATGCATTCACGAGTCAATTATTGACTGAGTTTCCGGAGGTGTTTTCTGATAAACTGGGTACTTGTAAAAAAACTATTCAATTAGAGCTGACGGATAAGGAACCCGTGTATGTTCGCGCGAGGCCCGTACCTCTCGCGTTGCGCGCGCGGGTTGAGCAAGAGCTCATACGTCTCGAGCGAGAGGGCACTATTTATCGCGTCGATCATTCCGAATATGGCACGCCGATAGTACCAGTTGTCAAGGAGTGTGGGGATATACGGATATGTGGGGATTACAAAATAACTATTAACCCTAAACTAAAACGGGACTATTATCCTCTGCCCAGGATTGAGGAATTATTTGCTTCCCTAAGTGGTGGAGTGAAATTTTCGAAAATTGACTTGAGACATTCATATCAACAAGTGTTACTGAGCAAAGATTCCCAACCATACACTGCAATAACGACACATATAGGAACATTCGTATATCGCCGCACTCCCTTCGGCTTATCCTGTATTCCCGAAAAGTTTCAAAAACTTATGGAAGAAACGCTGCGGGGTATCCCCGGGACAGTAGTATTTTTGGATGACATTTGTGTTACAGGCCCGAATGAAGAATTACATTTTAAAAATCTAAAAACGGTAATTGAACGGTTGCGTAATATGGGCTTAACAGTTAAAATGAATAAATGTAGTTTTTTACAACCCAGGGTTAAGTACCTAGGTTTTATAATAGACAAAAATGGGTTGAACTAAAACTGATGTGGTCTGTAGTGATGACGAGGGGGCTTGTTTCGAGGACGCGTCGGGTGGGCCGACAGCATCGAGGACACGCGCGTCAGCGCCCTTCTCTGAACCTATCCAGTCCCCGACACTGACGCCGCCCGGACCCGACGCGTCTTCGCGAGCTTTGCGTGCTTTTAACCGTAATAAGAGAAATGCAAAGATTTGAAGGGGGAAAATGTAAGGTTTTATTATAGAAATGGTGGGTAATTGTGGAAACTGTAATAACACGTTTGGAGAATAAACCAGTCAGCCGCGCAGTCCTGTGTTTGATTGACGCCTTTCCTTGGGTCTTTACATAATTGACTTCGACTACATTGATAATGTTCTCATTTTATTAATACTGAAGTCGGTTGTACAAAATTTTTAATTTTACCGCTTGTTACATACGGGTTTGAAAGGTCATAATAACAGATTTAAAAAAGCATAGTATAGTTTAAGTTTTGACGACACGGTTTTCTTGACGGCGCACAAAAATTAATTAAGACCACAGTAACAGTTTTTCATTGTTTTATTGTTCGTGTAGGGGCGGTTCAAAAATATCTATTTCCCAATATAGGCCAGTGAATGTCGACAGAGGGAAAAAAACCAGGAGAAACCAGCATCATCTTCCTAATAACAATTAAAAATAAGAAACTGCGTTTGCCAAGCGTGGTAAGTATGGCAAATCCCTAGAGATTATACATGGTAAATTATGGAGGAGCCCTATGCTCAACAGTAAACTTTAATAGGCTGTGATGATGATTCAAATTATATAATTTTCATAAAACATTGTTTAACTTTTCCGTATCAAACAGCAATATTTAATTAAGTGAGGTCAGAACCTAATTTTTATGTAAATCAAATTCATACTTTGACTTTGAAGGATCACAGCCTACAAAAATAAGATTATTTTTTCGATTACTTATCTTGAAAACAACATATTGAATTAGAAATTAGTTATAAGATATTATTAAATTGATAATAGATATCAATTTAATAATATCTTATACTATTTATAACTAATCTTATAATTTCTTATCAAAAACTTGTCGTAAAAAAACGTATTTATTTGCGGAAAAATAAGTTTTAACCGTGTTATTTCAGACAATACTTGATGTATTTTAATAAAGAACAAAATGTAATAATATTATTTCTGCCTCCAATAAGCTAAACATGTAGCTTGAGTACTTTATTAATTTATTAAACATAAAAATTATTAAAACAATATTTTTTTTTGTTAAATAAGTTATCTTTGCTCGTTTATCGTAGTTAACGTGAGAATGATTTATTAGATTTTATGAATTTTATATTCAAACTGTAAACATTTGGGGTGAATTCAAAGTGAAACTCATCACATAACATACCGAAAAATGCAGAACAACGTCTGGCGGGCCAGCTATTTTCTTATTATTAGTTAAATAAATGAATTATTAAATGTTAATGTTTTGCTATTAATAAATTTGCGTATCTGCTAAAAATGTCAATAATAAAAATGAATAAATGTTAGGATCAGAGCAGCGACACTTGCCTCTGCGAACATCTGGGACGCACTACAGTATTGCGGCTAACGGACCAACATGCGGAACGCATCATTATACTGCATCGTCAGCCTGCGATATTCCTCTTTAGTGAAATTCGTCCACAGCTGAGTACTGTAAAGTGGCCGATAGTAAGCTGAAAACAAAACAATTTTAATATCTTAACCGGTTTCCTCTTGAGCATAACAAGAACTAATAATAATAAATTTTATATTTTTCCTCACAAATTTAGAAATTAACTTAAAATACATTTCATATTAATATGCTACAATCAACTCGTCGTACTTGTTACTTATATAAATAAAGACAGAGTTTCGCCAAGTGACAACAAGTAAATTATACAATGAAAATATCTTCGTTTGTCTTAGACCGAGACTCCTTTTCCCAATTTAACTAAGGGAGCCCTACTTCATTAAGTTTCACCTAACCAAATTCAAACTTAAATCCAGTTTACTTGCATCAGCAATTAGACAGTCCGAACAGGTTGAGAACGTGTAGCAAATACACCTACGGAATACCCGAGTATAACCCGAGTTCTACACCTACTAACGTTGTAACGTATTTGTATGTACGGTCGGCAATCGTCTCAAATGGTTTTGGTCTTATTGAGAGTTTTAGATGAACAATTTTATATTATATAAGCCAACATACTGACCTAAGGGAGCTAAGCGTATTAGTCACTCTATATGAATTTAATTACACAGAACTCTAGAAAACTGATCTTCAATCAAATCATGGTATAGTTATATGTGTCAAGATCAGTTTTTCGCGTTACCATCAATACTATCTGGATGATTTGCGGTCCACCACTGTGCGATTTAGAAGAAGTTTTCTCCCTCGCACAACTTCCTTGTGGAATCAATTACCACCAGCGAATTTTCCGGACCGATACGACTTAGGAACCTTCAAGAAAAGAGCTTACACCTTTCTAAAAGGTCGGCAACGCATCTGCAATTCCCCTGGTGTTGCGGTTGTTCATGGGCGGCGGTAGTCACTTACCATCAGGTGAGACGCATGCTCGTTTGTTCTTCCCCTCTTCTATAAAAAAAAAGTTTCACTTCGATCACCTAGATCACTTAGTTACGCCTGAGACTTCGTTCGCGTGAAATTAGTACTTTCACTTTTGTTATGATAAGTGATGATGATTTATTTGTATTTTTAATCACGAAAACCGTTTTCTGAAGAATAAATTATGTTAGGTATTTCGACAAACTAACCAACAAACGGGCCCACAAATGCATTGGAAAAAACTAAACGCTTGTGTTTCAACGCCAACAGCTGTGTAAATTTCACCATTCCAATATACTATACTATCACTATACTATTTCAAGTAAGTGGAGCTGCAAACAGTTTCCAAAAGACACCAAACGGTTGAGACATATCGGTGCAGTACGCTGTAGCTGTAATTGCATAATTAGGGGTTTAGGTCAGGAGTAACACTGTTCTGTGGGCGTGGACATAATCAACAATTTTGAGATGCTATAACGTAAACCACTATTTGTTTCCAAATTTCTCCAGCCAACATTTGGTTCCCATACAACAGAGAGATTGCTCTAAATAAGTAAACCCCATCACCAATTTTTGGTATTACGGAATGAGGCACCATATTGCTATTAATATTAAAATTGCATCATGGATTTAAGTAATACAGGTATGTGCGGGCCCGAAATCAATAATTAATATAGTTAAATTATTACTCGGTTTTCTTTCAAGAAATTCTTAGTTGTGGACCGGAGTCAGAATGTTGGCACTGTTTTACCCCCCGTGCCTCGCAAAGCACGTAAAGCTATTGTTCTAATCCTGTCCTTCGCCATTAAAGTATAAAGTACTTCCTAGTAACGTACGTACAACAGAATACTATTACTCTTTACTGAAAGGCACAGATAGCAGGTCTCCGATGAGGCTGGTCGCCATGACTAAAATTTGACCTGGTGAACATTATAATTTTTAAAAATAATGTAAAAATTGATTCAAAAAATTAAAAGTATTCAGTGCGCACATTACTTATTTCAATATAACGCATTTAAACATTTAGGAATGTTGGTTAATTCGACTAACTATAAAGTTTATTTATAGAAGGTTTAAAAAGATGTATTCATAATTATCATAATTTCCTTTAAAAGGTGCCTTATTGAGTAAAAAAAAACTTTTTCCATACAAAACTTGTACTTTCATCTTTAATGGATGCCATACACCACTGCGTGTTGCCAGTGATGACCTATGGAACTGAGACGTGGTCCTTCACTGCTGGCCGGATGAGAAAGCTCGAGGTTGCTCAGCGAGCTATGGAGAGGGCTATGATCGGAGTTTCTCTGCGTGATTTACTTAGAAATGAGAATATCCGCAGTAGAACCAGAGTGACTGACATAGCCCAACGGATTAATAAGCTGAAGTAGCAACGGGCCGGCCATATATCTCAAAGAACCAACAACTGATGAGGAAAAAAAGTTCTCGAGTGGTGACCTCGTACCGGCGGACGAAGTGTAGGGCGTCCCCCCACTAAATGGAATGACG